GCCTCAGGGGTTTTGAAAGGAAATGTGAGCTGATCAAAATGGTCATTAGGGAGGTTTACTCAATAACCGTCTGAGCCGGAAGGATTTCATCCCTCTCTGAGTTTTCCCCCCGAGTTTGTTCGGAAGCCGACTTGGTGGCTGCGGGCTCGGAGGCGGTTGCGATGGCGGCGGCGGGCTCGGCGGCAGCGGCCGTGGCGGGCTTGGGGGCGGCGGCGAGGGAGGCAGCGGTGACGCGGAGGCGGACTGGGCGGCGGCGGCGACGGCGGTGGTTGGCTTGGTGGGGGCAAGGCGACAGTGGGGGTGGCGAGGGCGGAGAAGGCGCCGGCAGAGGGGGCGACGGCGGCGCGGGCTCGGCGGTGGCGGCGACGGTGGCGGCGGCGAGGGCGGCGGCGGCGAGGGCGGCGGCGGGCTCGGCGGCGGCGGCGGCGAGGGCGAGGGACGCGCCTGAGGTGCAGGGAGGGCGTCAATACTCACAGCACTGGTGGTTCGGCCTCTAGGAGGCGGGCGGCACCCGAGCGGCTGGCGTATTTTCCGGCCAGGCCGACGAGGGTGAAGGCGTCGATGAGCATCAAGCCGCCCGTGGGCCGCGCCAGGGCCGCGGCGGGTCCTGGCGACCCCTCGAGGGAGGCCAGGGTGGCCAGGGCAGCAGTCACAGCCTGGGAGGAAAAGTGCGCCGCCGACGCGCACTTCTCGCGCGGGTCATTCTCGGAGCTGTCGGGGGCGTGCGAAGCTACCGCCTGCGAACGGCCGGTTGGCAGACGTCATGGCCGGCATGTACGACCCTTAAGAACCCGCGTACGACCAGAAGGTCGGCTGTGAGGCGAGGCTGAAAGGCAGCCCAAAAACTGGTGGATTTGTGTTGCTGACAATTGAGGGCGATCCCGCGCGAACTGACGGCAGGTAAGCCGGCAGGTGGGGGGCGGGGATGTGCCGGGTGGATCCCCAAGCGGGCGAGCCGGGCCCGTGCATAGTTCGGGCGCGGCGGGCGCGCGAGCATGAGAAAGACGCACCGACATGCTGGCGCTACCGGTCTCTTGATTGCCTGATTTTGACGATTCTCGTTGGACCGTCGCTCGGAGCGAAATCCCAAAACCTCTCAGCTCAAAGGGGAATTTATTTGTTTGGGCAGTGTTCGACCGGGCTACACCACACACTCACACCACGAACACACGATGAGCGCGCCCCGAGGCCCAAATCCAACCAAGAAAAGCCAAAAGCACGGAAAACAACTCTCTCACACAGCAACTCTATTTACGGTATTGAATGGTGTATTGCTAAAAATCTCTCTCTCTGGAACACTGGGTGCGGTTATCACGCGAAACCCCATTGAGGGATGCCCATGGGCACATATCTGCCCCTTGCTACAATGCTAGAAGGTGGACGCGGCGCAGTGTCACACGGCGTCGATGGAGTACAAGCAGAAGCAAGAGTGCAGCATACAAGAGTGCCGCATGCGAGGGCAAGGACCGCTCCAAATAAATAAATAAATAAAACGGACACCTCTACTAGGAGATGGGTAAAAAGGAACAGGTCCCCGCCCTGCGGTCTTTGTGCAGGGTTCTTTGTGGGTGTGGTCGGCGACTAGCCGGGGTCGTCCTCCCGATGGGGGACTAGCACTTTAGCCGTCTTCCACATGGTCCCTCGGGTCCCTGCTGCTCCTAATCTCTTCGTACATCCTCCTGCTGATCTCCGCAACGTCCTGCTCCCTCCCTCGTCTCGCCCTGCGCGTCTGCTCCGCCTCCCCGTCGTCCGCCCTGCGTCGTCTGGTGACGGGTCCTCCATAGTCGGTTGAGGTCGCCGCCCTCCTCGTGCCTCTTCCCAACGTTCCCTCGGCGGTCGATGCCGTCTGGTCCGCCTCCGCCGTCCCCGGGTCTGCCCTGCCCTCGTCTGCACTAGCTTCTGTTTCGTCATCACTGGCGCCTCTCCTCTTCTTTCTCCTCTTCTAAGGACCGCTCCAACGCCTGCTGCGGCGTGAGTTAAATATGGTGTTACTGCACGTGCATATATGTGTTTTTGCCTATAACAGTTTTTTGGATTTTGCCCCT